AGGCGTGTATCAGGTACGAAACGAATCATGTGTTGGATTGTAGATAGTCAAGACGGGATTTGTACCTCTCGTAAAAGAGAGAGATATCGTTTATATATATATATATATATATATATATATAATAAAAATATAAAGAAAATAAAGCACATTAAACAAATCTAATCAAATATAAACAATGAATATAGAATTATCAAAAACCAAATTTAAAATAAAAAAATCGTATACTGATTAAATATAATTATAAAATTTCGTAATCATAATTCATCTATATTTGTGTGAATATATATAAATATAAATATGATATATAACGCTTTATATATGTAAGAATCCTTATTTCCAATTCTATTTATCTCATTATTTTGATCTATTATTTTCGAAGATATAATTTAATTTTTCACTGAATAAATAAACATATTAATTTGGTATAAAAATTTATAGTTTGTTTTTCCTTTTATATAGATCTCACCAAACACATGTGGGCTTCTCTTCCTTTTCGGTCTATTTACTACTTTTCCTAGTCTTCCCGGCGGCTGATATGTTCTTTTGAAAAACTGATACTTTTCACAAAACAAAAACATGCAATTTAATAAATTCAAAAAATCTTCCAAAATAAAAAAATATTTGGGATTAAAAGAAACAAATTTTTTTTGCGTAAATCAAATCATAACGAAACGAAAAATTATAAAAACATGCAAAATAAAGGACAAAGAATGTAATATTTTTGGTTTTATTTGATTATTTTAGAATATTTTGATTGTAATTTTTTCGGTTTTATATATGTTGGAGAAGAGATTCACATGAAAAACTTATGGACTGCATGACGGCCACGAACGTGCATGAAGAAGCCCATTGAAAGCACACCTTCCATACATTTTAGCCCGACTTCCATTTCGGCATCAATCATGTCCGACATATCGCATGACCGTTTGTGCTTATTCTTATTTTCATATTTCATGATTTCTTTATGTATTATTCGTATAACTTTCTATTTTTATATTGCGCTTTTCCTTTATTGTATTTTTCTACAATTTTAGTTTTCAATGTGTATATATAATCGGTTGTATCAAAGCAATAATAATAAGACTTTTTCTCCAAGTCTATCTTGTCTTCTTATCAAATAGATAGCTAGAGCCTTATTTTTTTTGTTCTCACAAAACCATTTCTCCTTAAATATTGTTTCCCACGTAGTATCAGAACAAGATCTATGGTGATTTCTATTCTCTTTCTCCCTATATAATTTTTTTCTTAATAAAAAATATCGTCCCAAGAAGAGAAACATGATATACCAATTAGCGAAAGGAATCAATTGAAGTTTATAAGGAATGATGACCTACAAACGGATGCAAAGAACCTTGAAAACGAGGCATCACCTATGGAGAACAACCTTGTCCCATTCGTCCTTCCCAAAGCAAATCCGTTCATGCATTTCCAATGCATCGACAATAGAGTTTGTCATTCATTCTTCTCTCCAATTCGTTTTGATTTTGTTTTTCCTAATGACATGCTTGGTGTTTTAAAAGTCATTGGACAGAAAATATAAGATACATTTATTCTAAATCATTGGAGTACGAAACAAGCATTCACAAACTCAATGGAAGTCCATATAAAAAGGCAAAAGTCGAAGTATGGAAAAATGTCTGAATAAAAGATGATATTACCTATGAGTTTCTACAACTCTAGGTTGGGTAAAATCATTCTTGAACCTTTTGTTTTTTTTTTTGTTTTTATCCCGGAGACATATTCATGTATTGTATGTTGAACACAATATACTAGTTTGAAATACTTTTGATCATGAAAATGATATAAATGATATGTTTCTAATATTCAATGAAAATGTGAGTAACATGTTTAGTTTGAAATATAAAACAAATATGAATCTCATCATAAAAATAATGTTTCATATTTCAAAAGCATTAAACTTAGCATTCATTAATGTTAGAACATTATTTCTACTTTTATTTTATGGAAAACATATCATCGCATCTCTATATTCCTGTTTTTTTTTTTTTTGTAAATGGTAAATTCTATAAAAAACAACTGCCTAAATACAAAGAAGATAGTTTAAGTTACATCACTCTAAACGAACTAAAAGATCAAGGGCCTAGCATCATAAGCGATCAAAGTTACGGAACCAAAAAGACATGATAGTATCCCCAGCAGCGGGAGGTAATAAGTTGGTCTAAACCGAGGAAAGCTTCCACCGAGTGAACTGAATAACTGTTGGTTTAGTGCTCTATGATGTACTGCTATATGAGCTTTATTTTGATACATTTGATGTATTGACACTTACTATGATTATATGGATGAGTGTTTGATTTATTACATGTTATGCATACATTAATATGTTATGAAATCCATGTATTGTTATGAACAATGCTAAACTACCTAGTCATATATCATTGTGGGAACAATGATGTACTAAGACTAGTATGATGTGTGATAGATGATCATGTGTATTGGATACGACCACAATCATAGATATTCGCTGGAGAACGAAATACTAGAGTGACCCGCATGAGATTGTCACATGGACAAGCATCATGACTGGAATTTCATGTGACGGTTCCATGATTGGATCCTGTGACGTGAGATATCTATGAAATCTAACATGAAGAGTTGCGTACTTTAAATACGTCAAACGTCCTGCATAACAAGAGGACTAGAAAGGCGTGTATCAAGTACGACACGAATCATGTGATGGATTGTAGATAGTCAAGATGGGGTTTGTACCTCTCGTAAAAGAGAGAGATATCGTTGGGCCCCTTGTGGAAGCCAGACTGTAGAAATGTGTGGCCACACTATAGACGAGCTTCGTCTATTTCGTACAGTCGAACTCATTGAACGAGAAAGCAGTTAAATCAGATAAGGTGGATTTTCCATTCCTTATGTTCGACATATGATATCGTGATACAAAAGGATCATCAATCGGAATCATCACTAACGTTTGTAAGATCACAAACAAACTCTATTCGAGATAGGTAGTCATAGTAGTGTCTTGCTAGAGACCGCTTATGATTTGTATATCTGAAATAGAGATTTCGGGTTATACTGCTATATCGGATGAACCTACAGGGTCACACACATACGAAAGGACAAATGAGCGAGAAAAGATGAGAAATTTTCGGTGGAACGGAGGCCAGACCGACCGCTCCAGAGGTCTGGACTGATCGGTCCAAGCTTGCCGAGACCGACTGGTCCAGACGCGTGGACCGGTCGGTCCAGATTTGTTAAGTCCAGAAAGGTTCCAGACCGATCGGTCCAGGCGGAAAAGTTCCAGATCAATCGGTCCAGAGGCTGGACCGATCGGTTTAGGCGTAGGGAATTACTTATCTCACTCTAATTAGGGTTTTGGGGCAACCAACACTTTGGTAACGCCTCCTAATCTTTGTAGGAAGATTTCTTAGACTTTTTCAGAGGTTTTTGAGATCAGAAAACGTTGAGAAAGATCCCTTAAACCCCTGTACATTGGAGAACGATTCTTCAGTCCTAGTAGACAAGTTCCTAGAAGTTGGAATCATTTCCGTCGTGCGAATACGTGTAGAGGGCGATGTAATCTTCCTACCTTTGTGATCGTACGAACACATCAATTGATCCCGGATCGATTGAGATAAGCATTCTAATGTTTCTACGATTCATGCATGCATGATTTTAGGGTTTATAGAAAATTTTTGTTTTGCATCCGCTGCGCAAACCCTAGAATCGTTCTCTTAGAAATTAGATTCACTAAAGAGATCTTAGGAATTATCAACAGTGGTATCAGAGCCTGGTTACCATGTATGATTTCATAGAATCCGATCACACACGTAATAGGATTTGAATCGTTTGAATCCATGTTTGCTTTGGATACTATGCATGAATCGATTATAGAACTAGAGTAGATTTCGTGTTCTCTGTTGCATAGTGTGCAAGAGGTTCGTGTTCTGAGTTCGATGAAAACGATGTCGAATTCGGGTCTGAATCGGGGCTGAAACAACGAAAAACGTGATTTGATCACGTTTTCGCCTAGACCGATTGGTATGGTCCTCTGGACCGATTGGTCTAGGGTTTTGTCTTTTCTTGGTTGGACCGAAAGGTCTAGACCTACCAGTCTACATGTGTGGACCGACCGGTCCAGACCTCTGGACCGATGATCACGCAAATCTAGGTGTATAAATAAGCTCAAGTAATAAAGACCTAGATACAACGAATACCGCAAGGATACAGATCAACTATAGTACCAGAGTCGAACACATGGAATAGTTAACACTAAGAACAAGACTCGACTAAGATTCAGATCAGCGAATAGCAGATGAAACAGATGATTATCGAAAATAAAATAATAAACAAACTAAGTAAATCAGATAACTAAACCACCGTAGCTTCGGGATAACCTTAACGCGCAGGGATTGTTTCTAAGGATGGAGAATCTACGAATATCGAACTCTAATCGGTGATCTCAAGTTCTAATATCAGATTTAGCTCTCTCAAGTCCTAAATCCACTATCCAATAATTTAACCTATCGATCTCTCAATCTAATAGATTAAAATATCAAATGCATTAACGATCACTATCACAGTTCCTAAACCGATTAACCTATCTCTCAATAGTCTTAATCAATTCATTCAGTGAATTCATTCCG